TAAATTAAATATTGATCTTACAAAATTCCAGGTTATTTTGGTAGTTGGTTCATTGCTCGGAAATTAAAGAAGTAAATTAATAGGTAAAAAAAAGCAAGAATTTTCAGTTTTGGCTAAATTCAGATAGTCGTCTTTAATTATTTCTATAACTTTTTCAAATCAACTTGATTTTTCACAAAACTCAACAGCTATCTCAATTATACATTGATCTTGCTGAATCCCAGGTCGTTATGTAGTTTGGTGTATTGCTGTCAAATTTAAGAATTTAATTAATAGGTAAAAAAGCTAGAATTTTCAGTGGGACTGAATTCAGCTAGTCAACTTTAAATTTGTTTATTATTTTTTCAAATTAACTTGGATTTTCATATAACTATACAGCTATCTCAGTTGTATATTGATCTTACTGAATCCCAGGTCATTATGTAGCTTGGTGTATTGCTGTCAAATTTAAGGATTAAATTAATAGGTAATAAAAAAAGAGATTTTTCATTTTGGCATAATTCAGATAGTCAACTTTAATTATTTCCATAACTTTTTCAAATCAACTTGGATTTTCATCAAACTCTACATTTATCTCAATTATACATTGATCTTACTGAATCCCAGGTCGTTATGTAGTTTGGTGTATTGCTGTCAAATTTAAGAATTTAATTAATAGGTAAAAAAAAGCTAGAATTTTCAGTGGGACTGAATTCAGCTAGTCAACTTTAAATTTGTTTTTTATTTTTTCAAATTAAATTGGATTTTCATAAAACTATACACCTATCTCAGTTGTATATTGATCTTACTGAATTCCAGGTTGTTATGTTAATTGGCATATTGCTGTCATATTTAAGGTTTTAATTAATCAAGGTAAAAAAAGTTAGAATTTTCAGTTTGGGCTAAATTCAGATATTATCTTTGAATATTTTTATAACTTTTTCAAATCAGCTTGGATTTTCATCAAACTTTTCAGCTATCTTTATTTTATATTTATCTTACAAAATGCCAGGTTGTTTTGTATGTTGGTGCATTGCTGTCAAATTTAAGGACTTAGGTAAAAGGTAAAAAAGGCTGAAATATTTTAATTTGACAGCAATAAACCAAATTAACAAATACCCTGGTATTTTGTAAGATAAATATATAATGGAGATAGCTGTAGATTTTGATGAAAATCCAAGTTACTTTGAAATAGTTATAAAAATATTTAAAGATAACTATCTGAATTTAGTCCAAACTGAAAATTCTGGCTTTTTTACCTTGATTAATTAAATCCTTAAATATGACAGCAATAATTGCCAAACAACATAACAACCTGGAATTCAGTAAGATCAATATACAACTGAGATAGGTGTATAGTTTTATGAAAATCCAATTTAATTTGAAAAAGTAATAAACAAATTTAAAATTGACTATCTGAATTCAGTTGACTGAAAATTCTAACTTTTTTTTTACCTATCATTTAAATTCTTAAATTTGACAGCAATAAACCAAAGTAATGCAAACAACCTGGCATTCTATAAGATCAATATATAATTAAGATAGCTGTATAGTTATATGAAAATTCAAGTTAATTTGAAAAAATAATAAACAAATTTAAAGTTGACTAGCTGAATTCAGTCCCACTGAAAATTCTAGCTTTTTATATGACCGCAAACAAATTTTTGTGGTCGTATATTGGTATGACGTTGGCGTCGTCGTCCGAAGACGCATTAGTTTTCGCACTCTAACTTTAGTTTAAGTGAATGGATCTCTATGAAATTTTACCATAAGGTTCAATACAACAAAAGGAAGGTGGGGATTGATTTTGGGGGTTATGGTACCAACAGTTAAGGAATTAGGGGCCAAAAAGGGGCCAAAAATAAGCATTTTCTAGTTTCCAGACAATAACTGTGGAACGGTGTATGGATCTCTCTGAAATTATACTACAAGTTTCCATACCACAAAGGGATTGTTAGGATTTGCTTTGAGGGGTTATGGCTCAAACCGTTTAAGAATTAGGGGCAAAAAAGGGGGAAAAACAAGGTTGTCCTGGTTAATGGACAAATACTTTAGTACAAAACATAATTTAAAGCAGTGTAAGGGAGATAAATCAAATACATCATTGAAATTATCTCCCTTACACTGCTTTTAAATTATGTATAAAGTAATGGTTAATGAACAATTAAGATTATTTAAAACAGTGTAAGGGAGGTAATCCAAATACAACGTTTTGGTTACTTCCCTTACACTGCTTTTAAATTATGTTTAAAGAAATACATATTTAAAAAGGAAGACCAGTAAAAATATCTGCAAATGTTGCATCTTTTTTTTTTACAAAAAAATCTTATTTGAAAGATTTGACACTATATTTTAAATTCTATTATAAAATAGATTAAGTTAGCACTATGGTAAATTTAAATGGGTAATTATGGTTTGGGGGAAAAAATGGGGGGGGGGGTAAAAAGAAATTGTGGGGGGTCAATTTTTTCTCATTTCAGATTTCAGAAATTAAAAAGAATTATTCTTCAAATATTATTTTTTTTTCAAATTTCAAATATTGAAAAATTTCAAGAAGTAATCTTTAATTGCACAGTATGGCGCATTAGATTTGTAAAATCTTTGACCACATTTATTTATTTGTTATGCCGAATCTAATGATGTATTTAGATTTTTAATTTTGGATCCAGTTTTCAAATTGGTCTACATTAAGGTCCAAAGGGTCCAAAATTAAAATTTGTTTGATTTTAACAAAAATTGAATATATTGGGTTCTTTGATATGCTGAATCTAAACATGTATTTTGATTTTTGTCGAGCCTGCGACTTTTGTCGCAGAAAGCTCGACATAGGGATAGCGATCCGGCGGCGGCGGGGGGCGGCGGCGGCGGCGGCGTTAGCTAACTTCTTAAAAGCTTTATATTTTAGAAGGTGGAAGACCTGGATGCTTCATACTTTGTATATGGATACCTCATGTTACGAAGTTTCCGTCAGTCACATGTCCAATTTCCTTGACCTCATTTTCATGGTTCAGTGACTACTTGAAAAAAAAGTTCAGATTATTTGTAATGTTAAATTCTCTCTTATTATAAGTAATAGGATAACTATATTTAGTATGTGTGTACCTTGCAAGGTCCTCATGCCTGTCAATCAGTTTTCACTTGACCTCGACCTCATTTCATGGATCAGTGAACAAGGTTAAGTTTTGGTGGTCAAGTCCATATCTCAGATACTATAAGCAATAGGTCTAGTATATTTGGTGTATGGAAGGACTGTAAGGTGTACATGTCCAACTGGCAGGTGTCATCTGACCTTGACCTCATTTTCATGGTTCAGTGGTTATAGTTAAGTTTTTGTGTTTTGGTCTGTTTTTCTTATACTGTATGCAATAGGTCTATTATATTTGGTGTATGGAATGATTGTAAGGTGTACATGTCCAACTGGCAGGTGTCATCTGACCTTGACCTCATTTTCATGGCTCAGTGGTTATAGTTAAGTTTTTGTGTTTTGGTCTGTTTTTCTTATACTGTATGCAATAGGTCTATTATATTTGGTGTATGGAATGATTGTAAGGTGTACATGTCCAACTGGCAGGTGTCATCTGACCTTGACCTCATTTTCATGGTTCATTGGTTATAGTTAAGTTTTTGTGTTTTGGTCCGTTTTTCTTATACTTTATCCAATAGGTCTACTATATTTGGTGTATGGAATGATTGTAAGGTGTACATGTCCAACTGGCAGGTGTCATCTGACCTTGACCTCATTTTCATGGTTCAGTGGTTATAGTTAAGTTTTTGTGTTTTGGTCAGTTTTTCTTATACTTTATCCAATAGGTCTACTTTATTTGGTGTATGGAATGATTGTAAGGTGTACATGTCCAACTGGCAGGTGTCATCTGACTTTGACCTCATTTTCATGGTTCAGTGGTCAAAGAAAAGTTTTTGAGTTTTGGTCTTTTTTCTTATACTATTATGCAATAAGTCAACTATATTTGGTGTATGGAAATATTCTATGATGTACATGTCAGTCTCGCAGGTTTTATTTGACCTTGACCTCATTTTCACAGTTCATTGCTCAGTGTTAAGTTTATGTGTTTCAGTCTGTTTTTCTTAAACTATAAGCAATAGGTCAGCTATATTTGTTGTATGGAAGGATTGTAAGCTGTTCATGTCTGCCTGGCATGGTTCATCTGACTTTGACCTCATTTTCACGATTCATTGGTCAATGTTTAGTTTTCTTGGTTAAGTCTGTTTCTTAGAAACTATAAGCAATAGGTCAACTATATTTAGTGTATTGAATGATTGTAAGGTGTACATGTATTTCTTGTTTGGTTTATATGACCTTGACTTCATTTTCTTGGATCATGTTAAGTTTATGTAATAGTTGTAGTAAAGCTTTCATTTAGGACTATCAACATAATATCAATGGTTAGTAAAGAAGGCGAGACATTTCAGCGTGTCCACTCTTGTTGATTTTTGGCCCAGTTTTCAAGTTGGTCCAAATTGGGGTCCAAAATTAAACTTTGTTTGATTTCAACAAAAATTGAATATATGGGGTTCTTTGATATGCTGAATCTAACCATGTATTTAGATTTTTTATTTGTGGACCCCGCTATCAAATTGGTTCATATTGAGGTCAAAAGGGTCCAAAATTAAACTAAGTTTGATTTTAACAAAAATTGAATTCTTGGGGTTCTTTGATATGCTGAATCTAAACATGTGTTTAGATTTTTGATTATGGGCCCAGTTTTCAAGTTGGTCCAAGTTGGGGACCAAAATTAAACTTTGTTTGATTTCAACAAAAATTGAATATATGGGGTTCTTTGATATGCTGAATCTAAACATGTATTTAGATTTTAGATTTTTGGCCCAGTTTTTAAGTTGGTCCAAACTGGGGTCCAAAATTAAACTTAGTTTGATTTTAACAAAAATTGAATATATGGGGTTCATTGATATGCTGAATCTTACCATGTATTTAGATTTTTTATTTGTGGGCCCGCTATCAAATTGGTTCATATTGAGGTCAAAAGGGTCCAAAATTAAACTTTGTTTGATTTCATCAAAAATTTAATTATTTGGGTTCTTTGATATGCCAAATCTAACCGTGTATTTAGATTTTTAATTTTGGGTCCCGTTTTTTAAATTGGTCTACATTAAGGTCCAAAGGGTCCAAAATTAAACTTAGTTTGATTTTAACAAAAATTGAATTTTTGGGGTTCTTTGATATGCTGAATCTAAACATGTGTTTAGATTTTTGATTATGAGCCCAGTTTTCAAGTTGGTCCAAGTTGGGGTCCAACAAAATTAAACTTTGTTTGATTTCAACAAAAATTGAATATATGGGGTTCTTTGATATGCTGAATCTAAACATGTATTTAGATTTAAGATTTTTGGCCAAGTTTTCAAGTTGGTCCAAATTGGGGTCCAAAATTAAACTTTGTTTGATTTCAACAAAATATGAATATATGGGGTTCTTTGATTTGCTGAATCTTACCTTGTATTTAGATTTTTTATTTGTGGGCCCGCTATCAAATTGGTTCATATTGAGGTCAAAAGGGTCCAAAATCAAACTTTGTTTGATTTCATCCAAAATTGAATTGTTGGGGTTCTTTGATATTCCAAATCTAACCGTGTTTTTAGATTTTTAATTTTGGGTCCCGTTTTTTAAATTGGTCTACATTAAGGTCCAAAGGGTCCAAAATTAAACTTAGTTTGATTTTAACAAAAAATGAATTCTTGGGGTACTTTGATATGCTGAATCTAAACATGTGTTTAGATTACTGATTATGGGACCAGTTTTCAAGTTTGTCCAAGTTGGGGTCCAAAATTAAACTTTGTTTGATTTCAACAAAAATTGAATATATGGGGTTCTTTGATATGCTGAATCTAACCATGTATTTTGATTTTGGACATTGGACCATAATAGGTAAATTAAAAAAATTGAAGTTCTTAGACCACATTCTTTCTGTGTCAGAAACCTATGCTGTGTCAAATATTTAATCACAATCCAAATTCAGAGCTGTATCAAGCTTGAATGTTGTGTCCATACTTGCCCCAACTGTTCAGGGTTCGACCTCTGCGGTCGTATCAAGCTGCGCCCAGCGAAGCATTTTATTTACTTATTAATTAAATTCTTAAATTTGACAGCAATACACCAAACTACATAACGACCTGGGATTCAGTAAGATCAATGTATAATTGAGATAGATGTAGAGTTTGATGAAAATCCAAGTTGATTTGACAAAGTTATAGAAATAATTAAAGTTGACAATCTGAATTTACCCAAAATGAAAAATCTCTTCTTTTTTTTATCTATTAATTTAATCCTTAAATTTGACAGCAATACACGAAACTACATAATGACCTGGGATTCAGTAAGATCAATATACAACTGAGATAGCTGTATAGTTATATGAAAATCTAAGTTAATTTGAAAAAATAATAAACAAATTTAAAGTTGACTAGCTGAATTCAGTCCTACTGAAAATTCTAGCTTTTTTTTACCTATTAATTAAATTCTTAAATTTGACAGCAATACACCAAACTACATAACGACCTGGGATTCAGTAAGATCAATGTATAATTGAGATAGCCATGATAGCTGTAGAGTTTTATGAAAATCCAAGTTTATTTGAAAAAGTTATAGAAATAATTAAAGACGACTATCTGAATTTAGTCAAAACTGAAAATTCTTGCTTTTTTTTACCTATTAATTTACTTCTTTAATTTCCCAGCAATGAACCAACTACCAAATAACCTGGAATTTTGTAAGATCAATATTTAATTTACTTAGATGGGCTGATTCAGACCAGTTGAGACTAAAATTGAAGGTCAAGACTAGTCGAGACAGGTCAAGACTGGTCGAGAATGAGTCGAGACAGGTCAAGACTGGTCGAGACAGGTCGAGCCTTGGTCGAGACCATTTCAGACTATTAAAGTTGAGACCAAAGTCGAGTACAGTTAAGTACTGTCGAGACAAGTCGAGTAAAATCTGTGCTCGACTAGACTGGTCGAGCACAAAAACTGGTCTTTTCAGACTTTGAGCAGTTTGTAGTGTAGGTCAATGGACAAGCTATTAATGGACTGAAATTGGGGCAACATTTTTGTTTCCAGATTATATCTTTTAAACCATGTGTCTAACCTTCACCAAACTTAGCCCCCCGAGAAAGCAGAGACCTATTGATTTTTGGGCTTGAACATCAAAGTGCCTATAAATGTTTCTAGACAATATATTTTATGTCATAAATCAGGACTACCAATCTTTTGGAGTAATTGTGCCTTTGATGGGAATAAAAAAAAACATACTGAACAAACGAAATACTTAAAATCCAAAAGATAGCAACTGGGCTTTTGCACCACTGGTGCTTCTGTTGCTTTTTCAATTTCATGGTCCAAATAATGGCTTATAATCTCAGGATAACCAAAACACTTTCTCTTTGTTAGCTCACCGGGGCCCGAAGGGCCTCATGTGAGCTTATGCTATCACTTGGCGTTCGTCGTCTGCCGTCGTAAACTATTTAAAAAATCTTCTCCTCTGAAACTACTCGGCCAAATACTTCAAACTTTAACTAAATGTTCCTTAGGGTATCTAGTTTGTAAATTGTATCCAAAGTTTTGATTCATCGACAAACATGGCCACCATGGCTAAAAATAGAACATAGGGGTCAAATGCAGTTTTTATACGACCGCAAAAAAATTTTTGTGTTCGTATATTGGTATGACGTTGGCGTCGTCGTCGTCGTCGTCGTCGTCGTCGTCGTCGTCCGAAGACACATTGGTTTTCGCACTCTAACTTTAGTTTAAGTGAATGGATCTTTATGAAATTTTACCACAAGGTTCAATACCACAAAAGGAAGGTTGGGATTGATTTTGGGGGTTATTGTAATAACAGTAAAGGAATTAGGGGCCAAAAAGGGGCCAAAAATAAGCATTTTTGTAACTTCCAGACATAACTTGTGTGTTAGTGTATGGATCTCTCTGACATTGTACCACAAGGTTCCATATCACTAAAGGAATGCTGGGATTGATTTTGGGGGTAATTGCCTCCAAATTTTAGGAATTAGGGGCCAAAAAAGGGGCAAAAAACAAGCATTTTTCTAGTTTCATGACAATAACTTGTGTGTAAGTGTATGGATCTTTCTGAAATTGTACTACAAGGTTCCATATCACAAAGGGAAAGCTGGGTTTGAGTTGGGGGGTAATTGCCCTAAACGTTTAGGAATTTGGGGCCAAAAAGGGGCCAAAAAACACATTTTTTTCTAGTTTCCAGACAATAACTTGTGTTCAAGTGTATGGATCTCTCTGAAATTGTACTGCAAGGTACCATACCACAAAGGGAAGGCTGGGATTGAGTTTGGGGGTGATGAATCATTTTTTTTTCCTTTTTTTTCTTTTTTTCCTTTTTTGTTTCTTTTAAAATTTTCCATTTTAAGTTGGTTATTTCTGATTTATATTTAAAATCAAATAATAATGATATGGTAGGAGATACACACCAAACAGGATGTGTAAATTATTATATAATAAGTATTGTGCAATAGCAAGAAATTTTCAATTGCACAGTATTGCACAATAGCAAGACATCTTCAATTGCACAGTATTGCGCAATAGCAAGAAATCTTCAATTGCACAGTATTGCGCAATAGCAAGAAATATCCAATAGCACAATATTGCGCAATAGCAAGAAATTGTCAATTGTACAGTATTGCGCAATAGCAAGAAATATTTAATAGCACAGGATTGTGCAAAAGAAGATACTTCCTATAAATTGCTTATTTCTTGACCAATTTCAATGGGGTTTTATTCTTGATTTCATGGGGGTTCTTTAATATGCTGAATATAACCGTGTATTTAGTTTTTGGATTTTGGGCCCCGTTTTTAAATTGGTCCACATTGAGGTCCAAAGGGTCCAAAATTAAACTTTGTTTGATTTCATCAAAAAATGAATTATTGGGGTTCTTTGATATGCCGAATCTAACTGTGTATTTAGATTCTTAAATTTTGGTACCGTTTTCAAATTGGTCTACATTAAGGTACAAAGGGTCCAAAATTAAACTTAGTTTGATTTTAACAAAAATTGAATTCTTAGGGTTCTTTGATATGCTGAATCTAAACATGTATTTAGATTTTTGATTATGGGCCCAGTTTTCAAGTTGGTCCAAATCGGGGTCCAAAATTAAACTTTGTTTGATTTCAACAAAAATTGAATATATGGGGTTCTTTGATATGCTGAATCTAACCATGTATTTAGATTTTTGATTTTTGGGCCCCGTTATCAACTTTGTCCACATTGAGGTCAAAAGGGTCCAAAATTAAACTTTGTTTGATTTCATCAAAAATTGAATTATTGGGGTTCTTTGATATGCCGAATCTAACCGTGTATTTAGATTCTTAATTTTTGGTTCCGTTTTCAAATTGGTCTACATTAAGGTCCAAAGGGTCCAAAATTAAACTTAGTTTGAAATTAACAAAAATTGAATTCGTAGGGTTCTTTGATATGCTGAATCTAAACATGTATTTAGATTTTTGATTATGGGCCCAGTTTTCAAGTTGGTCCAAATCGGGGTCCAAAATTAAACTTTGTTTGATTTCAACAAAAATTGAGTATATGGTTTTCTTTGATATGCTGAATCTAACCATGTATTTAGATTTTTGATTTTTGGGCCCCGTTATCAACTTTGTCCACATTGAGGTCAAAAGGGTCCGAAATTAAACTTTGTTTGATTTCATCAAAAATTGAATTCTTGGGGTTCTTTGATATGCTGAATCTAACCATGTATTTAGATTTTGGATATTGGACCATAATAGGTGAATGTCCAATTTAAAATTTTTAAGTTCTTAGACCACATTCAATCTGTGTTAGAAACCTATGCTGTGTCAAATATTTAATCACAATCCAAATCCAAAGCTGTATCAAGCTTGAATGTTGTGTCCATACTTCCCCCAACTGTTCAGGGTTCGACCTCTGCGGTCGTATCAAGCTCCGCCCTGCGGAGCATTTTATTTGCTTATATCTCAAAAACTAAAGCTTTTAGAGCAAATCTGACATGGGGTAAAATTGTTCAATTGGTCAAGATCTATCAGACCTGAAATTTTCAGACGAATCGAACAACTCATTGTTGGGTTGCTGCCACTAAATTGGTAGTTTAAAGGAAATTTTGCAGTTTTTATACGACCGCAAACAAATTTTGCGATCGTATATTGGTATGACGTTGGCGTCGTCGTCCGAAGACTCATTGCTTTTCGCACTCTCACTTTAGTTTAAGTGAATGGATCTCTATGAAATTTTACCATAAGGTTCAATACCACAAAAGGAAGGTTGGGATCGATTTTGGGGGTTATGGTACCAACAGTTAAGGAATTAGGGGCCAAAAAGGGGCCAAAAATAAGCATTTTTGTAACTTCCAGACATAACTTGTGTGTTAGTGTATGGATCTCTCTGACATTGTACCACAAGGTTCCATATCACAAAGGGAATGCTTGGATTGATTTTGGGGGTAATTACCTCAAAATTTTAGGAATTAGGGGCCAAAAAAGGGGCAAAAAACAAGTATTTTTTATGGACAAATACTTTAGTACAAAACATAATTTAAAGCAGTGTAAGGGAGATAAATCAAATACATCATTAGAATTACCTCCCTTACACTGCTTTTAAATTATATATAAAGTAATGGTTAATGAACAATTAAGACAATTTAAAACAGTGTAAGGGAGGTAATCCACATACAACGTTTTGATTACTTCCCTTACACTGCTTTTAAATTATAAAAATAAAAATATCTGCAAATGTTACAAAAAAATCCATATGAAAGATTTGACACCATATTTTAAATTCTATTATAAATAGATGAAGTTAGCACTATTGTAAATGGGTAATTATTTTAAAAAATATTTTTTATGGGGGTAAAAAGAATTTGGGGGGGGGTCAATTTTTTCTCATTTCAGGTTTCAGAAATTAAAAAGAATTATTCTTCAAATATTT